TTCTTACGGCTGAATAATATTCCATTGTGTATATGTACCACATCTTCTTTATCCATTCATCTACTGATGGACACTTAGGTTGCTTCCATTTCTTGGCTATTGTAAATAGTGCTGTGATAAATATAGGGCTGCATTTGCCTTTTTCAAACTGGGCTGCTATATTTTTAGGGTAAATTCCGAGAAGTGGAATTCCTAAGTCAAATGGTATTTCTATTTTGAGCTTTTTGAGGAGCCTCCATACTGCTTTCCACAATGGTTGAACTAATTTACATTCCCACCAGCAGTGTAGGAGGGTTCCCCATTCTCTGCAACCATGCCAACATTTGTTGTTGGTTGTCTTTTGGATGGTGGCCATCCTTACTGGTGTGAGGTGATACCTCATTGTGGTTTTAATTTGCATTTCTCTGATGACTAGTGATATAGAGCATCTTTTCATGTGTCTGTTGGCCATCTGAATTTCTTCTTTGGAGAACTGTTTGTTAGTTTTGCCTGTAGTTAGTATTTGATTGTTCCGCTTTCTTTGCTGTGATTTTATTTTCTATGGTGACATCTATTTAGCCTTAGGAGTGCTTCCATCTAGAGCACTCCCTCTAAAATACCCTGTAGAGTGGTTTGTGGGAGGCAAATTCCCTCAACTTTTGCTTGTCTGGCAATTGTTTAATCCCTCCTTCATATTTAAATGATAATCGTGCTGGATACAGTATTCTTGGTTCAAGACCCTTCTGTTTCATTGCATTAAATATATCATGCCATTCTCTTTTGGTCTGTAAGGTTTCTGTTAAGAAGTCTGATGCTAGCCCAATTGGTTTTCCTTTGTTGTTGACCTTTTTTCTCTCTCTGGCTGCCTTTAATACTCTGTCCTTGTCCTTGATCTTTACCATTTTAATTATGTGTCTTGGTGTTGTCCTCCTTGGGTCCCTTCTTTTGGGAGTTCTGTATGCTTCCATGATCTGAGAGACTATTTCCTCCCCCAGTTTTGGGAAGTTTTCAGCAATTATTTCTTCAAATACACTTTCTATGCCTTTTTCTCTCTCTTCTTCTTCTGGTACCCCTATAATGCAGATATTGTTCTGTTTGGATTGGTCACACAGTTCTCTTAATATTCTTTCATTCCTGGAGATCCTTTTATCTCTCTCTGCATCAGCTTCTGTGTGTTCCTGTTCTGTGATTTCTATTCCATTAATGGCCTCTTGCACCTCATCCATTCTGCTTTTAAGTCCTTCCAGAGATTGTTTTATTTCTGTATTCTCCCTCCCAACTTTATCCGTTAGCTCTTGCATTTTTCTCTGCAGCTCCATCAGCATGGTTATGACTTTTATTTTGAATTCTTTTGCAGGAAGATTGCTTAAATCTGTCTCCCCAGGTTCCCTCTCAGGGGATGTCTGTGTGATTCTGGTCTGGATCAAATTCTTCTGCCTTTTCATGGCTATAGAGGTAGTCATGGGCAGTTGGCACGTGTGTTAGCTGGGAGAACAAAGTCCCTTCCTGCTTGCCATTTGCCTTCCTCTCCTGCGAGAATGGCGACCCCTTGTGGCTTGTGCTGGGCAGCTGCTTGCCCACCAGGCCTCTGACTCTGGCCCGGGCGGCTGCCGGGGAGGCTCTGCACGGCTGCTGTGGGTGTGCCTGGTCTCAGGCTGCTGCTCCGCTATGGTGGGTCTGCGCTGGAAGGGGAACAGGCAGGAGGCTGTTTATCACCATGAGGGGCCTTAGAGCTGCACTGCCACCCAGGGTTTTAGGGTACCCGGGGTTCCCCGGGATTCCCAGCTGCTGGGCTGAGTGTCCCGGGATGCTTCTGTCCAGCGGTGAGGCTCCTGGCCCTTTAAGACTTTCAAAAAGCACTCGCTTTTCTTTTGTCCCAGAGGCGCTGGCTGTGGGGACCCGCTCGCAGTTTTAGTGTTCTGTTTCCCTAGTATCCAGCACACCATGCACTGTGTGTCTGTGCTCCCAGTGCAAATGACTAGGACTGAGTATTTAGCAGTCCTGGGCTCCCACTCCCTCCCCTCTCTGACTCCTCTCCTCCCGCAGGGGAGCTGGGGTAAGGTGCGCTCCAGTCCCGCCAAGCTGTGGCTTGTATCTTATCCCCTTTGTGAGGCGCTGGGTTCTCGCAGGTGTAGATGTAGCCTGGCTGTTGTACTGTTTCTTCTGGTCTCTCTTTTAGGAATAGTTGTATTTGTTGTATTTTCAAAAATATATGTGGTTTTTGGAGTAAATTTCCGCTGCCCTACTCATGCCACCATCTTATCTCCTCCCCTGATGTGTCTTATGCTTAACATTTTGAGGAACTTCTAAACTGTTTTCCAAAGTGGTTTTATTCATTTTATATTTCCACCAGCAATGTATGAGGGCTCCCAATTTTGCTACATCTTTACTACAGCCAAGGTTTTTGTTTTCACTTGGACGTTTTCCCCCTTTGACAAAAGTAGAAAGGTCATTAACTTGACTCAAGAGGTGACAGTGTAAAACGTGCAGTATTTAGATTCTTGATTCATAGTTTAACATGTTACTTTGCATGTTATTCTTTCATGATCTTTCCATTGTGTTTCCTGACACCCACTGCCAAGGATTTTTAAACAGGATTGCAGTGAGATGAGGAAATAGTTTGATGAGTTTTGAGAAATTTTCCATCCTTTTAACAACCATCCCAATCAAGATACAAAACCTTCTATACTCCAGAAAGTTCTTTGTGTCCCTTTCTAGAGGATATTAAAATTTTTTTAAATGAATTTAAATGGTGGACTTAGCTGTAAAATATAGGAGAAAATTTGGAGAAAATAGAAAAAGAGAAAAAACAGAATTCACCTATAATTTTTCCAGCCAAAAAAAAGCAACCACTGCTAACATCAAAATTAAATCTTTTTAAAAATTATATCTTTGAATATAGTTGTGACTATTATCATATATTTAATTGTGTCCAGTTTTGCCTATGTTTTTTCATTTACTATTATAACATAAATATCTTTTTGTATTGTAAAAATTTTCATGAATGTAGTTCTTTTTTTTTTTTTCTTTGACATAACTTCTTGTAGAGTAACATAAGCATGTATAGGTTTTAACAAACTACTAATTACATTGCGTACACGCATTAACAGAATAGGAAGACAGATACATAACGAAAGCAGACCTACAATTACCAGCCATATCCAGTGAAACCAAGAAAACCAGTTAGGTACCCTAGGCAATGAATGTAGTTTTTAAAAGCTTTATGGGGTTACATTGTATGTACATCCATTAATCTCCTTGGGCTGCCAAACACAAAAAACATGGTGGCTTAAACAACAGAAATTTATTTTCTCATGTTTCTGGAGGCTTGCAAGCCAAGATCAAGGAGCCCGTACCTTTGCTTTTTCCAGAGGCCTCTCTCCTTGCTTATAGATGACCACCTTTTTGCTGTGTCCTCTCATGGCCTTTCCTCTCTACGGGAGTACTGCTGGTGTCTCTTCCTTTTCTTATAAGGAAGCCAGTCCTGTCAGATTAGGGTCCTACCCTCTTGACCTTATTTAAATTTAATTACCTCCTTAAGGGTCTTATCTCCAAATAGAGTCATATGAATTTTGGAGGGAGATAACTTAGTACAGAACATACAGCATTTGTAATGACTTGATATTCTCTCAACATTGGACATTCTTTGTGTAGTTTTTTCCAGTTTTCTTTTTTTATAAATAAGATTATTAATTTTTTGTATAGACCTTTTTTTTGTATTCTTGATTAAAGTTAAATTCTCTGGAGTGGTGTTAGTGGGTCAGATGATATGAACATATTAAGACTATTGATAGAGATCACCAAATTGCCTCCTAAATGGGCCCCATACCAATTGTACTTTGTCTGACAATGTGTGAGTAGCTGTTTTGCTGTATCTTTGTCAGCATTAAAATCTATATTAATTGACATGCAAAAACAGAATCTTGTTTTGATATGCCTTTTTAAGTGAAGTTGAATGTTATGGAAAAATGTTAACTTTCCATATTTCCCCTCTTGGGGAATGAAGTATTTGTTCTCCCTTTCCTTTGTCCATCTTTCTTATTAGGGGTTTTATTATTTTTCTTATCAATTTGTATAAACATATATATTAAGCACAGTAACCCTTTTGTGTCATTTGTTGTAAATGTAATCTCCCTTACATTTGATGTAATCATTATATTTTTTAAAAAGTCACATGAGATTTTCATTTTTTTGGTTGTAAATTTTATCAGTATTTTCCTTTATACTTTCTTCTATGGCTTTTTAAGCTTTCAAAACCCTCCCCTAGTCAGAGATGAAAAAACATTTTTTGTTAGGTTTGTAATGTTTAAAAATGTCTTTTTCCCAACCTCAATCTACTAACTGCTTATTTGGAAATACTCCCTAAAATGTACATGCTGTTGGGGTGTGAATAATGTTGAATATTCTGATGATCAAGACTAGCACTGTCCAGTAGAATTTTTTGTGATGATAGAAACGTTCTGTGTATCTGTGCTGTCCAGTACTGTAGCCACTAACCATATGTGATTGTTGAGCATTTGCTATGTGGTTCGTACAATGGAAGAACTGAATTTTTTATTTAATTTTAATGTAAATAAATTATAAGTTAATTACAAATTCAATCTAAATTTTACTTAAAACTTAAATACAAATTTAAGTAGATCTAAAGATTTAAATTCTTTTGTGTTTTTGCATCCTGTGTTTGAAATACTGAATGCAGTAGTCTAATTCTGGTTCATTGGTGCATCCTTCCTCCTTGGGAATGGTATCAGTAGTGCCTTATTGACTGTTGCCCTGTATGTAGTGATAGCCTTCTTTTTTAGTGATAAAGGCAGTTAGCACAAGCAATGTGTGTGTGTGGAAGGAGGTAATTTATCCACCAGAAAGCTGCTGGTGGAAATTCTTTTCTTTTACATGTGTATGAGTTTGTATCCATTGTCTTCAGTGGCCTTAGCAAAGTTGCCTCACTAAAGAACGGGTATCTGTGGTGAGTTGCACCATATTCTTAGGCTTACCTCAGTTTTTCTCTTTGTGTGTTACAGACGCTGCATTCAGGTAGTGCATAAACTACTTTGCTACCAGAAGAAATGTAGAGTACGCCTGCATTATACCTGGCGGGAACTCTGGTCAGGTAACTTGTTATATTGAATTCATCTTCTTTTCCTGTGTCTTTAATGAGCCCCTAGGCCTGGGCACAAGATAAATTTCTTTCTTTTAACTGTAGTTTCATTTAGGATGGTTTTATTTTCATTTATACTTTCCTGTCATTTCAGCCTTGTTCTAATCAGGACCAGGATATGTCACATATCTATTCCATACTTTCTCTTTTTCCTTCGTCTCACTATATTTTCTTGTCAGCTGGTAGAAACAATTGAATATTTCTTGAGTTCTAATGATTCTTCCTTTGAGTGAGAGTAAGATAGGAGGAGTCAGTACAAACTTGGATTCTCCCTTGGTTCCATTTGGTAGCAGCATATGGACTATAGGGAGACTTCTGTGTGTTTCCTTAAGATGAGTAATCTCAGGAGGAATGTCATAGGGAGAGGGGGTGGAGAAGGGGGTGGAGAGATGGGGGGAATCCTGTTCTTTCTGTTACATCTGGCATTATTACTGTTTACAGACAGTGTCAGTTGTACCACTCCCCTTATGCCAGAGACAAAAACAGCAAATTACAGTGTTTACTTTTGTCTTTGTATTCATTTGGTAGCCCAGTAAAGTCACTGCTATCCCTGCAGGCGAGAAGTGGCTCTTCTCTAAGGGTACAATTAATACTGTCTTGCCACCCCTTTCTTTTGTGCAAAAAATTGGAGGTTTCAGGAAAGCAGAGGAGTCATGTTCCCTGAGGCATTCACTTGCTGATAGGTCCTGTGGCATTTGTGACCTGATGGTAGAATAAAGCCCTCTCCAGATGATTATAGTGATGAATGGTTGCCCCACCCGTGGGAGAGTTTCTCTGTGTTCTCAGCAGAGGAGGGTGTGTTAGTGTCAGAGGCTTTATAAGAAACAGGCCAGTAACCCCACCCCTTTCCATGGAATTCATCTCACATGTTGTGACACATGGTTTCCTCCAAACCCAATTTGGCCTTCTAAATTTAGTCCTCCATAATGGGAAGTAGAGATCTTTAATTAATGGATTAACAAGTTTTTTGCAGTTGCTGCCTATAGTGGTGAAGGGGGAATAGGAGAATAACATGAAGTAGCAATAGTGGCATTTTGGTATTTTAGGAGAAAAGAGTATGATTGTAAGAGTTAGAAATTGAGGGAATTGTCAGAAGATCTAAAGAGTGATCAAAAGAGATTGAAATGACTAAAGTTGGTAGAATTTCTTAGGTAGGAATAATTCTTTTTAATGTAAAGGACTTCTATGCCTGTGGATAGTTATATGAATGTTAAACTCCAGAAATATTTAGGATTAAAGAGGAAACACAAAAATGTTGCAAATCTGTGGGCGTTGATACAATTGCAGGACTTATAACAAGTACAAATGGTTTATATCTATAACTGGGATGAAGTAGCACTAAAGAGTTGGTGGTAGTAGTTGTTTCTGCCTGCTTTTAATTCTTTTCTGGTTTTAATTTCTCTTGTATTCTACTTTCTTTCCTTTCTTTATATCCTAGCCATACTGTCTCAGGGCCCTACAATCTCTCTGGCTTTTCTCCCATCCTCATCTGTTGTCCTCTTCCTCATTGTCCTGTTACATTGACTCTTCCACATTGCCTCCTACTGTTCACCCTGGTCTGTCTCCCTGGGGCCCAGAGCTTCCCATTACTCTCCTACCTCTACCTGGTATTCTATCCTTTGTGCTATTGTCATACATTGTACTTTTACGTATGTATGTTATAAACCCCAAAATACATTGTGATCCATTTTATTTAGAGGGGCAGTCTTTTATATTTATCTTTTCTGGATCTTAGCAGCTTACCATTCTGGCTAGGAAATTATAAGGCAGGAGACCATTCTTTAACCTGTGTTGGTCAGTTCATTTTATGTTTTGAATACTTTGTCACATTCAGCTCTGTTTGTAGTTATGTGCTAGCTGAGGATTGATTGATTGGCATTCTAAGGCCCTTAATTTTGAGAGGAGGTGTAGGTGAGTGTCATTAGTGAGGCTTGTACGACTGCTTGTTTCTATGGCGTAGGCATTTGTACTAGAGTTTTCTGTCAAGTGAGGCTAGCTCCTTTTCCTACATAGGCTAGGTAAGCGCTCCAGGAACCCTGGATCCCTGTGTTCATACATGGAGTGTACAGTGAGATGCAGAGCAGCAGGTGTTAAGGAAAGCTGCAAAATGCTACACTACATCTGATGCATCAGAACCCATAATACTGTATAATATTGCACTCAGTGAATATAAATGTGGCTATGGTGGATCCACCCACTCCTTGGCTGGTACTACTCCTCATATGTTAATATGCCCATGTTTTCCCTCTTTCTTTGCCTTTTAGATTTAATGGATTTGAGGGAGGTATGCAAAACTCATCATGGCAAATATGCTTATGTGTATAGATGCCTGCCTATACATGTGCTGCAAACTTTAATTAATTTTATTTATATATAAGACTGGTAAGGCATGTGTTATTAGATCAGACACGCAGAAGCCCTTGGGTGTCTAGGAAGCAGATGGCTAGGGTCCAAATGCCTTTTGTCATTTGGGATGTGGGTGTTTAGTTTTATTGCACTTCAAGTGGTGATTTTTATTCATTTCTATGCTGTTTGACTATAATACTCTGTTATTGGGGAGGATGCCACTGGTCACCTTCCAAATTCCCATATGGAATTCCTAGGTTTGGTCTTAAGGACATAGAGGAGATAACTGTATTTGTTGGGGTTTTCATCCTGCCTGAATGTTGGTTTTACAGATACAAGCTCTGACCTACTCCCTGCTGCCACTGTCTATTTATATGAAGCCTGTCACCATGGTATCTGAGTATGTGGGGAATTATATTTAGGCTATCTTCAACTAGATTATGGAAAGGAAGAAGTCTTTCCTTTCTCAGTGCCCTCTTTTTAGCAAACACTATTTTCCACCAAACTATGGAAAGTTCAAAAGCTCTTTTTTGACCTACAGGCTTCATAGATCTCCTATTTTGAGTAAAAGGTTAGGTCTTAAAACTCTCTGTATAGAAACAGAAAACTGTATTTTAGGATAAGAGCCTAGTGAAATACTTCTTTGCCTTTGAAAATATAATGGAAGGTATGATCTCTGTGTCCAGAAACATGTCCATTTGCACATACATGTTTGGCATATAATTTCAGAGGATTCATGGACTCTCTGAGCCCACCCATGATCCCAGGTTAAGAATCCCTGTCTTAATTTTAAGTTCCATTACCTTCCAGTTAATTCTGTTTTCACGGAGTATCTTAGTATGTGATTAAGTATTTTTTTCTTTATTTACTGATCATACTTCATTCTTCCTGGGAACTTTAGCTTAGCCATCTCTAAATTTTTTGAGGCTAAAGACCAGTTGTTTACCAAGTTTTATTTTCTGCGTCTTCTTACAGCACTTTGGGCTTCTATTTTAGCATATCAGATTGTTTGCTGTGTTTGCATATAGCTGCACAACAATTTGTTTAAATATCTATCTTTCCTCTTAAAAAAGTTCCTGGAGAGCAGGGACTGTGTTTTAATCATTGTTTTAACCCCCAGCACACTGCTTGGCTTACAGAAGGGGCTCAATAAACACTTGAACGAATAAATAAATTGATAAATGGTTATGTAGAATGTTCCATTCCAAAACAACATCAACCCCACCAAAATTACCCAGTAGGATGTTTGTTGTCTTGTTCTGTTGAGCCAACTTCATCACCTTTTTATTTGAATTGTTGATGTGAAAGGGAGTGATAGGTAATTTATCTTTCCTTTTCTCTTTCTTCTTTACCTACAGATACATGGATTGCTTTTAACCAAATAAAAATGGAAACTTTGATGATTTCTAAGCCATTAACTAAAGGATGAGGCAGAATGTTTAGAGAGCAGTCTGTAGTTGTTGGAGAGGGAAATACTTGAACAGAATTTTATGGATTCAGCTTATTTCACTTCCAATGCAGGCAGAAGGGGCATTGGGGAGGTAGCCTGCTTTTAAATTGTGTAGCTTTCCACAGTCTGAAAACATGGGTTGATTTAAAGGCAGATTTACACTGCCATTTTATATTTGATGTTTATCTATGGATCACAGTCTTTCTTATCCTTTCACTCTGCCACATTCCTGAGTGATAAGTGATATTTTTATCACCATTTGTTGGGGAAGGGAGTGGAGGCATGGAAGGGTAAGTGGATTTGCTGAGGATCATGGAATTAGACACTAAACAGAGTCCTGATAAGAACTTAGAGTTCCTAACTCCTATCCTCAGATGCAGATCACTAGGCAACATTTGCCTCCCTGCAGGAAGAAAGGTTCCCCAAAGCCCCCAAAACAATCTGTTCAGCTTCACTGTGCTAAATTTCAGATACCTACTGGGAAAAATGGAAAACCCAGAGTGTGTCACAGCTTTCTGGATCCAGCTGACTCTCTCATTACTGGCAGAATTCTGTGACTTGATGGTTAGGTACACCTTGAGACTGGTAATTGAGAGCCTTTTGTTGGAAGCTTGTTATATTGTAGGTGTTGTCATATAGGACTGAAAATTTTCATGAGAAAGACTGACCTGAGCCATAGATTTATCTGGTGGTTCTTGTATAGGTATGCTTTGACAGTTTGGCAGCAACTTGTGATTTTGGGAAACTATCCTTTGAACTTTTAGTTGTCTGCTTCTTTAGTTTCTCTTTTAAACTTTTTATTTTGGTATAATTATAGACTCAAAGGAAGTTGCAAAAATAGTGCAGAGAGTTCCTGTACCCTTCACCCAGCTTCCTCCAATGGTGATATCTTATATAACTCTACAACATTGCTGCTTTTAGTTTTGAAGAGGGTATCCGGGTGGGAAAGAACATAGCAGTAAACAGCTAGAGTAGATGGGAAGAGGAATTTTGGCAGCTGCTATTGCTATTTGTTTTTAAAATTGTTTTTAAAATTGTTCTTCCTCTTTTCCCCGTATTTCCTGTAATTTAGGGGAGTATGTTACAAGATATATTCTAAGCTTGATGTGCCTAATTAAGACTGCTCTAGCTTCTGTGTGCAAAAAGATAGAGACTT